AAGTATGGTCCTACTGTGTTTTCCCCAAAATAAGACAGGGTCTTATTTTCTTTTGCCCCCCCCCCCAAATAAACACTTGGCCTTATTTTCGGGGAGGTCTTATTATTTTTGAGGTCCAGGAGGTGGTAAGCATGGTCATCTCATGGCTGGTGCTGTGTTGCAATATTTTCAGGGAGGGCTTATTTTGGGGGGAAGGACTTATTATAGCACATGAGCTCCAAAGCCCGATTGGGCTTATTATCCAGGGAGGTCTTATTATTTTTGAGGTGCAGGAGGTGGTAAGCATGGTCATCTCATGGCTGGTGCTGTGTTGCAATATTTTCAGGGAGGGCTTATTTTGGGGGGAAGGGCTTATTTTAGCACATGAGCTCAAAAGCCCGATTGGGCTTATTATCCAGGGAGGTCTTATTATTTTTGAGGTGCAGGAGGTGGTAAGCATGGTCATCTCATGGGTGGTGCTGTGTTGCAATATTTTCAGGGAGGGCTTATTTTGGGGGGAAGGGCTTATTTTAGCACATGAGCTCAAAAGCCCGATTGGGCTTATTATCCAGGGAGGTCTTATTATTAGGGAAACAGGGTATAAAGCTCTGACTGGATTCTGAATCCTTCCATTCCCCACCATCCGGTCAGAGCTGAAGAAGCTCCTTGGATGAGAAGTGAAAAGGTTTTCCAAGAAAAACCAGAAAGTCCAGCTGCCTCTTGAAAAAAAGCACCTTTGGGGCAACCATCCGTTTAGCAACTGTTTGAGCTTACGATGGCACTGAAAAAGTAACTTACAACCAGCTCTCCAACTTACAACTGTCGCGCATCCCCATTGTCACATCATCAAAATTCAGGTGCTTGGCGACTGACATTTTATTAACTGTATGATGGTGCAGTATCCTGTGGTCATCTCCTTCCTAGCCAGTTTCTGACATGCAAACTTAATGGGGGAAGCTGGATTCACCGAACAACAACTGTAACAACTCAACAACAATGGCAATTTTAAAAAAATGTTGTGAAGTCGGGCACACCTCACGTAACAACTGCCTTGCTTAGCAATGGAAATTCTGGCCCCAATTGTGGTGGTAAATTGAGGACCTGTTTTGTACAATAGAGCCACCCATGAAGTCATATTCAAATTCATGTTTAGATTTGGCTAAGCTAAGGTTAGTCTTCTCTAACCTGGTGGGTTTTTTTAGACAGGTTAATGGCAGGGGTCTCCAACCTTGGCAACTTTAAGGCTTGTGGACTTCAACTCCCAGAATTCCTCAGCTGAGGAGAAGCTGAGGAATTCTGGGAGTTGAAGTCCACAAGTCTTAAAGTTGCCAAGGTTAGAGACGCCTGGGTTAATCCGCAATTGCTGTTGTTGTAGCAGCAGTCAGTGGCCCTCAGACAAACCCTCACAGCAGAAGTGGGTGAAATTAGGCTGGAAGGGAGGGAAAATTCAGAAATCCTCCTTAACTAGGAAGCCTTGTGGCAATCTTGGTCCAGTCCAGTTGCTATCTCTGGAGTGAAGATCAATATGAATAGGCCACAGCTCCTGTCCTGAATGTTGTTAAAGAGAAGACAAATGCCCCCTTTTTTTGCATCTTTTTGCCCTCTCCAGCCTCCAAGGGCACTTTGCAGGCTTCCCAAACCCTCTGCCCACCCATTTTTGCAAAAATGCATGGGGGCAGGGTTTCAAGAGGCAAAAAAAAATGCTGTATAAGACACACCCAGATTTTCACCCTCTTTTTTGGAGGAAAAGGTGCATCTTATACTCTGAAAAATGCAGTATTTTACATCCTGGGTTTGTAATGTGTTTAGGTTCTTACATGATTAGTGCAACTGCTGAATTAATCCATTTTCTGTTTCACACACTACATTGAACAGTCATTTGTCCCACATGCCAAATCCTTTACAGTAACGTTCTTGTCATGTGAAGTCAACTAGAGACATCTTTAACTGGACATACTAGCAATAGCAATACGTACCACAGACTTATATACCATGACACAGTGCTTTTACAGCCCCTCCCTAAGTGGTTTACAGAGTCAGCCTATTGCCCCCAACAATCTGGGTCCTCATTTTACCCACCTCGGGAAGGATGGAAGGCTGAGTCAACCTTGAACCGGTCAGGATCGAACTCCTGGCAGTGGGCAGAATTAGCCTGCAATACTGCATTCTAACCACAAGCTTGTTGGTGCACACCTATATTAAGTGTGTTGTACAAACCCAGTCAGTGTATAGAAGTAGATTTAATTTACCACATGTTTTAACATTTGTTAAAGAAAAAGATGGACTTACAACACCTCTTGTCTTATAACATGCATCATGGGTCATTGTGCCACTCACATCAGTGGTGTATTAACCATTAAGCAGTCTAAACACGTGCTTAGGGCACCAGGCCCAAAGGGGGCACCACAAAGTTGAGAAAGAAAGAAAAAACCCAATGAAGATTTGTACAGTTTGTACAAAGGAAGGAGACGCCAAGATTTGTCAGTGCTTAGGGCACCAGGCCCAAAGGGGGCACCACAAAGTTGAGAAAGAAAGAAAAAACCCAATGAAGATTTGTACAGTTTGTACAAAGGAAGGAGACGCCAAGATTTGTCAGTGCTTAGGGCACCAGTGAGCCTTAATTTGCCACTGACAGACATACCTATGTGTTCTGACTCCCTTCTCCATCCAGTAACGAAAGCCGAGACACACTTAAATGGAATGTCCTTTATTAACAAGACCAGAATCTCGGTGGCTGAAAGCCAAGTAAACAAACAGATAA